AGAGAGAGGAGAGAAGAGGGAGAGGGAAGAGAAGAAGAATTGACAGAGGAGAGAAGGAGGAAGAGAGAGGCCACCTTTTTGGATTTGATAGCCACTGATATTCTTACCCATTAAAATCCCATAATCAATGGACAGATGTCTTATTTGTAGCAGTGTTGGGTGGCTTTCTGTCTGTTACACAGAGTGCATGGGTAATTTGCACCAAACTCATCTACCGTGACTTTCCCCTTTTTGCGGTGCTTAAAACCAACATAGCCATCTAGCAAAAGAACAAAATTTTCTCATAAAAGGTTTATGTGTGTAAGTGGGTAGGGGTGGGAATCTCTTATGCTTGAGGCAGATATGCAATGATGGGGTGGAATCCTGGCATGAAGGTCTAATTCTCGTTTTGTTTTGTAGAGGCCAAGATATCCTAACTTAACCCCTAGCTCTGGAATTTAATGGTCTGGATTACCTTTCAAAGGTTGAACATCCTGGAACCATTTCAAAAACCAAGAAAATTCATCCCATTGGGCACTGCCTGTCCTTCTCACTTGCAAGCAAGCTTGATTCTTTGTCCTAAAAGAGAAACTTTACTAATGATGTCAAAAGTCCAGCAAACGAGCACTTTGCATGGTTCCTCAGAGACCCCAGACATGAGATTTTGTTCATACAGACTTGGTTCTTGGAATTTATTGGTTGTTCAGCCTCAATCTTTCTCAGCCTTGACACTATTGATATCTGAGGCTTAATGATTCTTTGCTATAAGTATTGTAGGATGCTAAGTAACATGTTTCCTCTACCTAGCAGGTAGGTGCCAGGAGCACCCCTTTATCTCAGTATGACAGCAAAAACTGATGATGTTGCCAAATACTTTCTAGGGTAAACCCACCACAGCTAAGAAACACTACATTTGTGAAATTGAGTGAAGCATCCCAGACTGGCCATCTAGCAAGTGTCTAGAGAAGGATTGTCATATGGTCTAAAGTGTCCCTGGGGCCTTCCTTCTGACATCTTAACCATGAAGAACCCCCTGGAGCCATGCCTGTACACTCTACATGCTTCTTGCCGTTTGTTCATATTTTCTATTTCTCTTTACCCACATCTGCAGGAAATCCTGGGAATTCGCTTTTGGGTTTATTTAAATGATGGATTACACCCATTTGCACTTACTACTTGAGAAGACTCTGATTTGAAACAAAATTAGCCACACAACAGCTTCCATTCTCTAGATTCTCAAAAAGGTGCACAGCTCTATTACTTGTGCTCATTCAGTGCTCATAATTGCTGTTTTATGACCTAAACCTGGGAGATATTACCCAGTCAGGAGTGACTCTGTTAATATTCCCTTACTATGTGTCTCCAAACTGGATTAATGCACACACAGTTTGGCAGTACATGTTTACTGACTGGTGTTCTTAGGAGCTAAGCTCTGCCCCCTCCTATGACCACAGATAAGGGAATAACACCTGTCTTTTCAATTCTGGGATCCTTTCAACTCTTGTTAACCAGAGCTGGAATTACATTCATAGTCTTCTGAAAGTTTACCAGTTTGAGGAACCCATAATGAAAATGATTTCTATATACCTATAGCAAATATGCCAGATGTTTTTGTAGGTACCATGAATGCAGAGAAGCTCCAGTATGGATTCAGCTCCCCCAGTTTAATGAGGAAACATGCAGTGATTTGGAAGTCTTAAGTGTTTGGAGAGCATTTGAACTTTATCTTTAAGGCTGACTGCCATGTACAAGGAGAAGGCAATCATTTCGTGTGTGTGTGTGTGTGTGTGTGTGTGTGTGTGTGTGTGTGATAGCACATGTGTGGAGGTCAGAGGACATATCGGGTGTTGGTCTTCACCTTCCACCTTGTTTGATAGAGGATCTCTTTTGTTGTTTGCAGCTGTGTATACAAGACTTCATGGTCTGAGAGTTTCTGGAAATTCTCCTGTAGCTGCCTTCTATCTTGAAGTATGAACACTGGGGTTATAGATGCATGCTGAGTTGTCCAGCTTTATGTGGGTTCTGGCAACTCAAACTGAGATCCTCAAAATTGTGTGGCAAACACTTTCCCCACTGAGCCATCTATTCCCAGACCTAGAAGGCCATTATTTGATGAGAGAGAAAAGAGAGGACTTACATTACATTGGCACAGGGGTATTAGTAACACCACCGTTTCAACAAAGAAGAATGGCAGGGGTTTAAGTACAGTAATACGTTTGGAGGAGGGGGCACCTGCAGCTTATTATATGTAGCAAGTACAAGACTTTTACTATAGTAGTGTATTGAAACCCAAAATCAGGCATATTGTGGAGGAATAACTGCCGACATACATAAAAATGATAAGAAGGGCCAAGACACATTCTCTATCCCCCCAGAAGTCCTGTCCCATCTGCAAAGACATGAGACGATGTAGCCTGTTAGTGAAATGAGAAGTTTGGTGCTACCTGACTGTCTGTTGGGTGTTCATGTTCAGCAGGGAGAGTGATGTTTATTATGAAGAGTCATACTGTGCATTTCTGAGGACTTTGGACTCTGGTGTTGAGCCAGGGGCTCTCAAAATGGAGATGAATTTGTCCCCAAGAAACATTTGACAATGTTTGAAGACATTTAGGGACGTTACAACTAGCTGTGCTGGTGTGTTAGTTTCTGGGCAAAAAATTATTGGCTTAGAGCAATATAAATTTATTATCTTTCTGGAGGTCACAAGGACCAGTGGGTCTCACTAGGGCTAAATTCAGGCTGTCAGTGGGGCTGTGTTCCTTCCAAACACTCTTAAGATCGGTAGTCTCTCCTTTTCAGTGGTCCTCTTCCTTTATCTTCAAAGCCAGGCATGCTTTATCTCTTTTATCCTTCTCTAGTTATTGCTCCCTCGGAATTTCTTCAAGACATTTGTGCTTACATTGGGATCATCTCAGTAATCCATAATAATCTCCCTCTTTTAAGGACATCTGATTAGCTAATTTTAATTGCATTTGAAACTTTAATTCTCCTCTGCTATGATGTACTCACAGGTTTTAGGGATACACACTTGTACATCTTTGTTAGGACATTATGCTGTTTACCACAGGGGATTCACTATTACTGACAGCTAGTGGGGGGGGGGGCAAGGGAACTGGCTAAATGCCCTGAAATGTTTAGGTCAGTCCCACAAGGAAGAAATAATTAAGGCACAGAAACAGTGCCAGAATCAAGGAACTATGCGGAAGAGAATGTAGGGACTTGGTTTTTAAGCCTGGGGATTTAATCTAATCAAATGTGTGTTTTAGAGGCATCACTCTGGTGTCTAAGGAAACATGGTTTGGAAATATGAAACAAGCAAAAGATGCATACTCAAGGGAAGGGGACATGGGGTAACCATGTCATACATCCTATAAACAAACGGAATTGGCATATAAACGTAGTATTCCTATATTTCCTACCCTCCATTTTAGAAAATTGCTTTCTTGAAACTGTTGAAGTACTTGAAAGCAGAGTTTCCACTCATCTTTTAATGTATAAATATCTAGGCTGTGTTCCAGAGTTT